GTACATTGAAATCCAGAAGATGGCAAATCACAACATCCCAATGCCATTCTTCCAGCATTTGCCTTGAACGAGAGGTCTCCCAATAGGTTTTCACCCCTAATGCCTACTGCTTGTGGCCACAACAGGAGAGATCACCCTCAGCTTTGTTTGGGAAGCCTGATGCCATCCCAGCACACAGCCCTGTAGCTGCTGATGCTCTGTGACAAGGCACACATCACAGAGGCAATGCCTGCACCTTGCAGCACAGAGAAAACACCATCCCATTCCCCAAAATTCACCTGCAGGCCATAAAGCCACACTCAGTCACAAATGGAGTCACAAGCAAGGTCTCTCGAGTGCAGCCCCCTAGTTTGATCTGGTATTAATTATCCACTGTTCTGCAGAGATAAATGCTTAATCCTCTGGCTGTTGACACTGGAAATGGACCAATTTACCCTGGGGTGGATATTACACAGGGGAACTTGGCTTCAGCTATGATTCCTGCATCATGTGCTGTACAAATGTTCACTGGCTCGTAGGTAATGGATTTCATAGGGTGTATGGGATCTTTCCGTGGCAGAGCTAATCCAGAATAATACATGACTCAAGCATTCATTGTATCAGGTTTTTTTTTCCCCCCTCTCTTTATTTTTTTCTTCAATGTAATATTTCATTGTGGAATTCATGTGGAATTTATCCTTATAGCTTACCAGCTTTCCTCCTCCAGGCCCAGTATCAAGGTGAACTTCCTAAGCAGCAGCATCCAAGAGATGTGGAGATGGGTCTGCACAACCCCTGCTTCTCTGAGTGCCTTTCTCTTTCTTCCAGGAGTAAAGCCCAAGATTTCCACATTGCTTCTCTTGTTTCACACTCACTGGAAAGCCTAAATCAAGAAGTTGGCTTGTCAGGGAAAAAGAAGCGATGCTGATGCCATCAGAGATGGGAAAAGTGTTCCTGTTTCTGACCAAGCTGCTAAGGACTTTGGTCTTACCCATGTCTGAGCAGTCCCACTAATGCCACCATGTGCCAGGAGGGCAAAACACTGTCCCAGACCCATTGCCACCAGCCCTGCTGCCCCAGTCAGACGTCTCAGGACACTTGGGAAGATGCCTGCCCCCCACCTTCCCACTCCCACCTGGGCTTTCTTGCTTTTTCCCTACTTGCTCTTCTCTTCCCAAGATCTGTTCCTTGGCAAAGGTGAATTTTAAACCCAAACACAGAAATGAGTTTGAAACAGAAGCAGATTGTACAAAGAGTCAGAACAAAAGTCACAAGTGCTTGGGAGCCCTGTTTTGCTCCCCATTTAACAACGAAACAGGTTCTCAGGACAGTGCTCTTCTACACAGGGTTGAACAAATACACCCACAAAGAAGTGATACAAAGGTTTGAATCCAGGAAATACAACAGGGAGTCAGTGCATGGTGACAATCTTTTTTTCCAAAAACACACAAAAAATAAGCTCTGGTTCAACACATCATAAACTCTTTAGCTTATGGTGGTGCCTTGAAGCTCTGCACCACCACTCTGTGTTGTACACACACACACACACAAGCAGCCCCTGCTTCCAGGGAGCTTACATTCTACCCAGTCAGCACTGAGGGAAACTGAGGCAGGGGGGAAATGAAGTGCTTTCCTCAATGCCACATAGTCAGCAAGTGGTGGGTTGGAAGCAGACTGCAGATGTCCTGTAGGACCTAGAGAGCTGAGCACTGATCTGGAGCTGCTCTGTACCCAATATGATGACAGAAGCCTGCGACATTTTCTCAATATCAAATCTGGCCACTCTCACCACCTTCCCTTTAGTAAGAGATGGCTGAAGTTTTCTACACCAATTCCTGCAGAAAAAGGGAACTTGCTTGGAGTTATTATGCACACAGAGCAAATTAAAGTGTTTTTTTTGTTGGCCTTGTTTAACTAAAGCAGTATTTCTAGCCTCAGTCCAAAGGACATAAACTTTCAGCCCACCTGAAGGCAGAAGTTCTCCTTTGCCACCATCATGCTGAATTTAATCTGAAAATTACAGTGAGGCAAAGAAAAATGCTGAACTCTTTACTGGATTTTCTATTCCTTAACCACAAGATACAGAGAGGGGCTACTTGTTCCTACGCTGTTCCTGGACAGCTTCACCTCAGCTGTGAGAATGGACTAAGATCTATGAAGGAAAGAATGGGAGCTTGAAGCCTGGCCAGTAAGAGCATGAGAAAGGGCTCCAGCAATCCCACTTTCTGTTTTCCTCACTCTAAGAAAAGAAAGGGAGTTCTTAAAACAAAGATCTTGCAATCCAGACACCTGGGGTCTGTTCCCGACTCTGCTGCTGACTCCAGAGCACATGCAAGTAAACCTACTTCATCTCTCTCTGCTCCTCTCACCTGAACACAGAGGAGATGCTGCTACTTCCACACGTAAGCAAGTCTGCAAAACAAAGGCTTTGAGGCCCCTGGCACAACTGCAAGTCATTGTCACACCACCCCAGTGAAGCACCAGCTCTCAGGCAATGCTCCTCACATCTTGTCAGCAGAAATGGTGAATTATTTCCATCAGGAGAAAGGAATATTGAGTGATTCACATAATGTCAGAGGTCAGGGTTAAAGGCAGGGATGCTAGGGCTTCCCAGCAAAGGAGAAGTGTGAGCTTGTCCTTCCAACATCACATCCAGTGTCTGTCAGGACTGTTCTAGACCTTTGCCCTCACGTGGAGCTGGCAGTGCATAGTTAACAGTCCAACTCAGAATGATCCTTTTCAGCAAACAATCACTTAATGATATCCCTCAGCAATGACAGACTAGAACCTTGGAGCTCCAAACCCAGAAAATTAATGAAGAAGCAATAGCAAGTGAGCACACCAAGAGGAGCTGGGAAGTCACCAAGAACAACAGGGCTATGCTGTATTGTCCCTGGCTGATGGCTCCTTCTCCTCCTGCCTTCTCCCACTCCTCAAGACAGGTGTAGTAAATGGAAGTCACAGGAAAAAATGAAGGGAAACAGGAGCCTGGCAGTGAAGGAAAGGGTGAAGCAGCTGCTCTAAGCAGATATTGTGCTTGAGGATATACAGGAGTCCTGCTTCCCAACCTGCTGCTTAGCTATTTGGGATTACCTCATACACAGCATTCTACAACCCTCTGCCTAATCTACTCTTAAGCTACTTAACACACATGCTCCCTCCTTTTCCAAGCAGGTGGCAAGTCCACCAACTCACAAGTGTCACTGCTAAGAAACAGCTCTGATAAGCTATGCAAAACTGCTTTGCTTTGTTACATTGGATTCTGCCTAGTTTGGGGATGTCCTTAAAGCTCCCTAAAAATATACTTGCTGGTAGCAAACTAATCCTGCCCTATATTTTCACAACACACACAACAGAGACGTGAAGCAGCATACACTGCCCTGTGTCCATTATTAAGCAGTGGCCTCTGGGAAGTGCAGAAGGTGTTTCCAGTAGGATGCATGTTGGGGTTATATCACCTTCTCTCCAAACATGCCACAGAGTATCCAGCTCCAAGAACCAGCAGGCTGTATGAAATGCACTGGTTGGTGCTGTAAAAAAGTCCTGCACACTTCCCTCTTGTGAGATCTCCTCTTCTAAGCACTTTAATCTGTAGAGAACACCAGAAGCAGCTTCCTCTTGATCAGCAAAGTCCAGCACTGGTCAGTTCATCCTTCTCCCAGGAAATACATCAAAACAGGACACCAAACTGGTCTGTTGGTGTGTATTCTCCATGTCCATCTGCCCTGTCACAAACCTGACAGCTGGGCAGCATATGCTTGCAAAACCACTCAAGTCCTGATGACCCAGAAAAGCAGCTGACAGATTGACATGCCATTCTGTGCCGGGTGGCACTGGACATGGTGACCTGACAAGCTTTCTAGAGCCCTTTGCACACAGCTGTTGCAGTAGCAGACACAGCAAACCAAAGCACAGTGAGATAGCAATCAATAACAGAGCTAAGGTGATGCTCTCGAGCCCATCGCTGTGGTCTAACCCACTGGCTGTCCGTGACATGTGTCCAGTGTTCCTCCTGGGCTCAGTCAGAGGTGCTCACTCCCCTCCCAGAGCTTGCTGTGACAAACTCTTTTGCTTGGGGGTTGATTTGCTTGTGATGTGTCACACATGGGTCTGCTCCTTTTCTCTCCTGTGTCTTCCAGGTGACAGCCTCTGGGACTAAAACATGACTCAGCAGACAAAATACGTAGTAATCCTAAAGTCCAGCTAAGTTATCACTCTTTAGCCTGGAGACAGTTCTCCTTTCCAGACCCACAGTCTACCCTACTTGTCTCCTACTGTTCAGGCAGTAGAAGATGCCAGAACAAGACCAAGTCAGAGCAGTGGCAGCAGGAGGCAGCTTATCTTTGTCCCCAAGGCAGGACAGCAGCTTTGATTTCTGTACTGCTTTCAACCTCCCAGTTACTTGGGCAGTGAGAATGAGTCCCTGATGCTGACTTCAAGGCTATCATCACAACTCCACACTTTATTTACTCCCCTTTTTCCTTCTGGTAAAATGGATGGCATGCTGTAGGCTGCTTATAAAGCAGGGACAGTATTTGGTCCTCCTTTCACTTGTCCTGGAGAAGCATCTCTCAACAAGATAACATCACATCAAGTCTCTGCATACCAGTGCCAGGTGGAGGCTGGGACCACTAAAGCAAATCTTGTGTGCTGGCTGCCTTTAGATGTTAGAGATGTTCAGAAACATGAGGCAAGCAAGGAAATAGGGCTTGTGGGCAGCCTGCATATCCTTCTCAAACTGTCCAGCTCAACAGAGGTCAGGTATCTTCATTCCAGGCTTTCCATAAGGTCAGCAACAGAGAACAGACGCTGCATGGCAGAAAAGCACCTTCAGCCCCTGACACTGGGTTTAATCCATCACCCAGCCACAACAGAGAAGCCTGGAAACAGCCTCATTTAGCACTGGCTGGAATAATTTCTTTACAAGAAGCTTCCAGACATGTTCAAATAAACATGGAAAATCAAATCATCCCATGCCTGTGGCTGCTTTTCTCCTCCACTGCTGGCTACACCAGCCCTGGTTAATGTGCTGAAATGCCTGCTTTGTCCAGGCCACTAGAAGCAGATGACACGACAGTTGTGGTTTCGAGCTCATGGCTGGAGCCCTTCAGAACCAAGAACTCCAGCAGAATGTCCAAGAGGCAGAAAACCAGGTGCCTGAAATGGAGAGAAGACAAAGCTTAGGCTGGGCAGGGCACAGTGGAGCTGGGAGATCAGCTCCAGACACGCTGAAGCCAAAGCTCACACAAGAAAGAAGTGTTCTGCTGACAGGGGAAAGACGAAAGATCTCGTACCCTAGAAGAAATATCTCAAGGGATAGCTCAGAGGTTTTTTTTTCATCCCCCAAACTAGTGGGTGTTTGAAGCTGCTGAGCAGCACAGAAAACACAAGTGCATGTCCTGGAGTGAGATGGCACATGCATTTCTCTGCAATTCATCACAAAAATCCTGTTTTCCAAATGCACAGCGATGATTATACAGAAAAACCTTAACGCAGCTTCCTAAAAACAACAAACTAAACCAGGAATTGGTATTATTTCCTCTGACAGTCTCCTGACATCCACTAAAACTAAGCAGGCTCAACAACATAATTAACAAGACTGGCTCAATAATCTCCAGGCAGACTAAGGTCCTAGACACTCATCTTCATAATAAGATGCCCTTTGATAGCATAAATCTAGAAAAATTAGCCAGATACATTCTGTGCCAAGAAGCTGGCAGCATGAATCTCACAGCAAAGCCCTGAGCATAGCTTACAGGCCCCATCACCCAGGCTAACAGGGTAAAGAGACTCTAATCCACGTACCTGTTTATCACAGGCTGGCCCAGGGACTCCAGTACCAAGTTCCAGCTCATCCGACATTTCCTGGTTCCGAGGATTTCTTGGATCACATCTGTCAACGTCAGAGACAAAGCTTTAGGAACTGCCCACTTCCACACCAGTAAAACAGGGTCAGGCTTCTGCTGGTGGGTACTAAATCAAAGTTTGGGATGGTGCTCTGAGCCTGAGCATCTCATGTCCAACATTGCCATGAAAGAAAACAGCCAAAGACAGGACCAAAGTTCAGGAAAGTGTTCCAGCCTGGAAGGGAACACACTGGGCACACTTTTTCAGCCCCAAAGGATAAAGAAGGGCCCCTTACTCTGCAGCAAGGAGTTAAAAGTTCAGACTGCACTCACAGGGATTAGGCAGCAGCTGCTTTAATATCAAAGATCCCCTTCTCAAACTTGAAGATAGGGAAATCCAGCGCAGCTGGGCTCATGATTTCAGTCCAGTGGAAAAGCCACTCTTTAAGAGAGTGAGAAGCCAAAGGCTTTGCCTTAGGACTCTTCTCAGCAGTGGCATCTTTTGGCAGCAGGTAGGAGCACAGCGTGGCACTGGCTTCACCTCATTTGAGGTGGCTCCGCAGGAACTGCACCACCAGCACTAAACAAAGATTATGTGGCCAGTCTGCATTTGGGAATTACCAAGACACACGTCCTTTCTCTCGGAGCTGTGCTGCTTCTTGGATGGTTATACAAACTATCTAGAACTGGGAAACTGGTTTTTGCTCACAGGAACCTCAAAGGTCGTGAATATTTCCCAGTGCTTTAGCACCAGCAGGCTCCATCTGTCTGATTAACTTCATTTCCAGAGATGCCAATGCACTGGAGGGTTCTTCAGACTCCCTCACTGCTCGTTTCTCAAGGGCAGCTGACATCTCTGGGGCACACTTACCAGGCAAGATCCCCACCAGGCTCTGCAGTGCCTGTTCTGCTGCTGCTTTCTTCTGTTCCTCTGTCCTGGCTGGTTTAGGCACTGCTGGTAAAACTCCTCCAGGCCAGATGGCTTCCTGCAGCAACTGGAGATACTGGACCCAACGCTGGGTGCAGGTCAGGTTAACTACTTGGACTTCCAGCCACCTGTGGGCACAAGGAAAGAGAAAGAGAGAGAAAGGTCAGGAAAAGTCAGGCTTGGTACCAACTCAGGAGCTTTACACTGATCAGAGGTCCTGAAGGAGAAGATCACCTTGCTGGGTAAGTTAACACACAGTTTCCAAGTCAATACCTTAAACATTTTCACATTAATGAGCTCAGTTTCCCTCTGCACCAGAAATAGATCTGTGTTCCCCATCTTAGAGACAGAAACACATCGGTAAAGTCACAAGGGAAAAGCAAAAGCCATGAACAGCTCCACTGCCCCACTGCCCACATGAAACCAAATGAGTGACTGGTCCCTAAAGGGAGCACAGCTAAGGGACAGGACTGGCCTTAACCTCCTAAGTTATGTCTATAACTCAGCACAAGCTGAGACAGAGCTGGAAGAACCACTAAAACTGGTGTTTTAACTCTAAAACAATCCCTATGACTGACTAGGACATGAGCATGTTCTGGAAACCAGTGCTCCTCTCATCAGTCCCTCTGCTACCAAAAAGAATTAAGGGTGTCTTGCCTGGAAACCAAAATGCACATTCCCAGCATGGCCAGGCACAAATATCCTGCTGCTGTGTGCTCCTTTCACCCCCCTGCTTCCCTGCTATCCATCCCTGCTCCATCCACTGGTGGCAAGCAATGAAATCATCACTGTTCCCATCCAAAACTGCACATCTATTAAAAGGAAAGTTAGGTACCTGCCAACAAAACTGCTGGTCAGGCCTCCTGCTGAGCCAAGACTGTGCCCTTTATATGGTAACAACCTGCAAATCCCAAGGCCACGAGAATGCTGCCCCACAGCAGGGCTCAGAGGTGTTTACAGCCTGCAGAGGGGAGATGTGTCCACACCACCCAAGTGCTGGCCAGGGAAAGCTTTTAAATCAATCATGTGGACCCTCTTTCCCAGACATGAAATCACTTCCCTGTGTAATAGCAAAAGCCACACAGCCATATCAGTCAAAACTCACCACTGCCTAAAAAAAATCTTCCCCCCCCTAGAATAAGGAGAGGCCAGTGGATGAATCCCTGATGCCTCCAAGGCTGAGAGGAGGGTCCTCATCAATTTATAAAGATTGGGACTCAGTGGTGCAGTAACAACAGTGATGACCTGCTGTCGTGGTCCTCATCAGGGGGAAACTCTGGAGGACAGATGGGAGCGATGGTGCAGGGTCAGGGTAGGGAGAAAATGTGCAATTTTGCCAGTATTTCAAGAGTCCCAGAGGAGAGGAGTCCACAAGCAGGGCCAGGAGACCCGTTCCTCTTGGCAGCTGGTTTTCGTGCTTGCAATTCCGTCACCACTACGCCCCGGCAGCTCATAGTACATCCAAGAGGCATTGGCCTTGCCAAGGCAAACTTTATTTAACCTGCGCTTTGCCAGACTGTCTGCATTCTTCTCAGGCGAAGCATTCGGGCCAAGGACGTTCTTTCTCCACACAACACGGACAAGATGAGTGGAGAGTCGGGAATAGCAACACCTAAAGGTAATCAGGGGCAAAGGAATGGCAGGTAGCCATCATCAGGGCCTGGGCTGCAACACAATGTTCTCTTCTTCAGCACAAAAAAGAGGTGCCTAACTGCAGGTCTTTGAGGATGCACACCTAGGAAAGACCAGCTGCAAAAGCAAAAATCATTTAAAAAAGTGAAAAGAAAGCTTGGTGCAGCTGTAAGGCCTGGTATGTCTCAGGGTAAAGTCTTACTGGAGCACAGGCAGTGCTCCTGGGGATTCCAGTAACAGCACTGGAAATGGGGAGAAGCAGTCTTTACACTCAGCCTCACCAGGGATCCCTGAGTATTGATGTTGCTACAAGATAGTGCCAGAGATCCAAAGCTTGGCTTCTGCCAGTCTTAGAGGACAAAATGTCACAGCACAGTCTTGCCTGGGAAAAAACCCTGTTTGAAATACAATTGCTTAAAAGGTTTTTTATCTCCAGGCATCAGTTGAGTTTAAGGCCCTGGATCACGTTAAACCCTCCAGCCATTCCCAACCAAATTAAAAAGTGTTAAAACTGCAGCTCCTCTAGAGGCCAGAGCTTTCATTATCATGGTTTTTCATTAACATGTTTTCTTATACAACCTGCTTTCCTAACTGAGAAAACATTTGACAAGCAACAGAGACTTGGGGACGGAGCAGCAAACAGTACAAACCTGCATCTAGGGAGATCAGGTTGAACGTTGACTTGAAATTCATCTCAGCAACAGTCACCTACCATCCTTCAAAAGGTTGCAGAAAGCAAAGAACAAGCTTTGTTTTTGTTAGGAATGTTCTTAAAATAGCAAAAACTCAAGCAAACAGTGGGCAGAGTGAAAGTTGAACTTAGAAAAAGGCAGCACACGTTTCCAGAGTGAACTGAGAACTGATGAATGCTGGAAGGCCCCGTACAAACAACCCACCATTCCTATTTCCATAGAGCCACGAGGCTGAGAAGTAACACTGATAAATCTGATCACATGAGTTGTGATTATGTCATTACAGGTCTTAATTCCCACAGTTGCAAAACACTATTGATGGATTATTATTTTTTTAACTTAGTCTGGCAGCTCACTGCCTTCCACTTTGGAAAGTAAAGGGCAGGATCTGAGAACTGCTCTGTTGGTTTTGCCTCTGCTACAGCTCCATGAAAGCTCCTGAGAAGAGGCCAACTTGCCCCACTGCACGGTGCTCAGATAGTAGGATACTCACTGCCAGGGGGAAGAGGCACCTAAAACAGAGGATACAATAAAAGAAGGAACTAGACAGGAAAAGGGACAAGAAAGAAGAAAGTGAAACCAAAGCTGGGTGCAAATGGAAGGAAGACTCTTCGGTCTGTGCTCTGGGTTGCCTTTTGCCAGTCTGTTGGTGTGGAAACCCATCCCAAAAGCACTGGGAAGAGAGGAACTGTCAAGACTGGTCCATCTGGCTCAGCATCCTCCCTGGGAGAGCAGCTGATGCTCTCAGAGACTCCAAAAGAAAACATCAAACCTGTCTTTTCCTCCCTTCTCTCAACCTGCTCCTGTTCAAGTCCCCACTTTGGGGGATGCACGCTGCATCTACACAGCACACACAGGGGCAGGCACAAGGAACAGTTATTAAATGGTGACAAGCAAAGGAACTCCTCAGCTCTCACAACTGTAGTTGCAACTCAGGGAAGATCACACCAAGCTTTATTGAAAAATCCTATGTGAGTAAAGACCAGATTTCTATGGCAAACTGACCTTTCTATCAGGCAGACTTGCTGCACCAGGATCAGGATTTAAACAGCTCACACTTCTCACAGAAGAACTCCAAATATGTGCCAGACCTGTGCTAGCAGATCACAGATGATTTTTCATACTATTAAAGGACTAAGCATTTGAGATCCATGTGCCACATCGAGAGTGCACACACACACACACACACACACACACGTCTTCTCCCAGGTAGAAATAAATCCATCAAGAAACACAAATAGACTTTTTTTTATGGGATGGCTGATAAGTTACTATTTCCATTCTCCTATTTCATGCAGAAATAACCTTAATAAGAAAGAAAAACAAACCCATCACTGAACCATCTCCTTACACTTCAGCTAAGACCAGAAATAGACAGCAAGTGACCTCCTGGGCTCAGACGTTCAAATGCTTTGATAATGCCCAATGCAAAGAGACAGACTGCAGAGGCTACAAAGTCCTGGACATTAGTCTGGAGGTGCATAACTTGCCCATGCTGTAAGGGTCCTCTGTTGGAAATAGCTGCTGATGGAGGAATGAAATGGCTGCTAAAAAAGAGCTGATTTAATGCCATGGCTTAAGCTGGAACTCCAAGGTCAGCTGAAGGGGTCCATGAAGACAGGAACAGCAGAAATGCCCTAGGAATGAGAAACAAGGCTTGGGGGGGTACATACCTTGGTCCTCCTCTGGCACCTGGAAGCAATAAGGGCTGCTAAGATGGAGCAGCCCATGGTAAGGACAGACTTAAGAGTCAGAAAGATGCAAAACACAGTGTATGGACTTGGTTTTACCTTTCTGCTGCAAGCAGGGTGCACTCAACTAAGTGGACTACCCAGAGGGTTCACCTGCAGATAGAGAGAGCTCAGTTCAGCAAGTAAAGGTTGGACAAGTTGGATTTGCTTTGTCTGGAATATAAAGATGGACCAGGAATGGATAAAAAAAGATATGGTGCTCTCCTAATTTACAAACAGCTGCTAGAAGGTGGTAAACTTCTGCTTTTGTTATCCATCAAGGTTAGGATAAGAACTGCCAAGCTCACTTGAGCCAAGGAATGGTTGTGTTAAATATGCTGATTGCAATTAAAATCTGAAGCAACAGCAATGGTGATTCCCCCCCCCCAAATGGGGGATTTTAAGCATCTAGACAAACACAAACTGCAGGCCACGTTAGGAAGAAGACAAAGATGAGAATGCCTCTACTAGTCTGCTTTAGCTTTATGAATACAAATAGCTCTATAAATATCCAGGAGCTGCACATAACAGTAGTGAATCCAGCTCAGTATCAACTACTTCCCAACCCAGAACAAGGTCTCTGTTTCCCTGAGGTCAGTTAACATGGCATGGCTAACCAGAAGCTCAAAAAAAAGGCTTGTGAGACCAAGGTAGTGAAAAGGATTTAAGAAATAAAAAAACAACATCTGGAAATGCACAAGACATTCAAGCATCTGACTTAGGAAATGAAGAAGGGCTGGTACTTAAATCACCAGACCATCCCTCCCTTCGCAGTACATGTCCCCCAAATTCCTCCCCAAATTGTGCCTCAAACCACCGGGAATAACCTGAACTCAAGGGCTCTGAAAGAGCAACAATTCAGTGCTTTGACTGTAAAACTTTTCAGAGCAAAGCCTGTAAAACCAAAGAAACAGCTGCAGCGGGCATGGAAAAAACACTAATGGGGAATTTTCACCCCCAGGCTTGGCTTTTAGCACCTGCTACTTGAGCCCAAGGATCACCTTCTCTGCACAGCCCCACCAAACACGTGCAGGCAACTCCTGGCACGCTGGGCTCAAACACCTTCAGAGCAAA